CCCCAAAACCCCAAAACCCCAAAACCCCAAAACCCCAAAACCCCAGGTCTACGATTCAATACATTTATTTAGAAATAGAAATGACGTCTTTGAAAGACAAAGAGATGAAATTACCTATCGTTATCGTAGATAATGTCTACTTTCCAACCCAAAGGTTGAGAATTAAAGCAGATGACTCTAATGCTCTCTTGAAGAACTACCAAGGCAATATCTTTGGAATAGTTAGCAAAAATAAAGGGTCCACCTACCTTAGTCAGATGGGTGTCCTTGTGAGCATAGTTAAAGAGGAAAGCTTTATCGAAAGATCTCCATTTATCAGAAATTACACCGATTTTGTTGTTGAATGAACAAAGAGAATCAAAATTTCACAGGATAGTAAGTATTTTGATCAGCCAAATTCCATACACTTTGCCTTGATGAACTCCCTACTATTATTTGTTTCTTAACATATCGAACTTTTCTATAGTTAGAGATTTATCGCACTTTGACAGATCATCCCAAATCATCATCGCTAAGGTGCAAGTGCTCGATGAAAATGTTGAAGAAGGAGAAATTCAAGAGATCAAAGATGCCAAACTGGATGAGACTCTACGAAGTATCGCTACTAAGTACTGCACAATCCCTAGGCTAGGAATTGGAGTATCTTCTGTGCTACAACAAAAGGCTAAAGCTATCCAAGAATGAGAGGATATCATTAAACTTTCCTTCAGATGTTGTGCTCTCCTGCTTATGACGAGCAATGACGATAAATACAAGCTTCTAGAAACCAATTCTGTAAAGGAAAGAATCGTAAACTGCATCAAATACATCAAGATTGAGATAGATATATCTGAAGAAAACAATGAAAAGAGGAAAAAGAACGAAATGAAGAACCAAATGAAGCTTAATGGAGTCGGTCTGAAAGATCTCTTCTCAGGCTTCAAAGGCGGAGTCCAGTCCATGTCTGGAGGTGGTGGTGATAACAGAGAGGTAATTGAAGAACTTAAGGCAAAATTTGATAAATTAGAACTTCCAGAAGAAGCCAAGACTATTGTTGAAAAAGAGCTGAAGAATTTAGCTCGTATGCATCCTTCTCACCATGAATACAGCAATATCGAAAAATACCTGGAGACATTAGCTGATCTACCTTGGAACATCACTCAAGAGGAAAACTTAGATCCTGAGAACGCCCAGACAATTCTGGATAAAGACCATTATGGACTAGAGAAGGTGAAACAAAGAATTGTTGAGTTCCTCGCTGTAAGAAAGCTCAGAGATGATCATAAAGGAACCATTCTTTGCTTCAATGGCCCTCCAGGAGTCGGAAAGACTTCTCTTGGTAAATCCATTGCTAAAGCTCTTGGAAGAAAATTTTACCGGATTGCTCTGGGAGGAATCAAGGATGAAAGTTTAATCAGAGGGTTCAGAAGAACTTATGTGGGTTCAACCCCTGGTGTCGTCATTCAATCTTTGAAGAAAGTCAACACCAACAACCCTGTGTTCTTACTTGATGAAATTGATAAAATAGGAAAAGATTGGAAGGGAGATACCAGTAGTGCAATGCTTGAGGTTCTGGACCCTGAACAAAATAATAAGTTTACAGACCACTACCTAGCTACTCCATTTGATCTGTCCCAAGTGATGTTTATTGCAACTGCAAATAGCTTGGACTCTGTTCATCCAGCCTTGCTTGACAGAATGGAGATTATTGATATCAGTGGATATTCAGTGAAAGAGAAAGTTCAGATTTCTCTTAATTATCTCATTCCGAAACAAATCGAAGCTAATGGAATCAATGACCAGATCATTGATTTTTCAGAGCCGATGGTCAATAAGGTAGTGCAAGAATACACAATGGAGAGTGGGGTAAGAAATCTAGAAAGATGAATGGGAAGTATCTGTAGATCAGTAGCCTATGAATACGCAATTTCTAAAGATAGGGAATCCTTTAAAAAGGTTTATGTGAATGAAGAGCTAATAATTAAGGCTCTCGGACATCCGAAGTTCAACTTCATTCTTAAAAAGAAGATTGAGAGACCTGGACTTGCAATAGGACTTGCTTATACTTCTGTTGGAGGAAAAGCCTTGCTTATAGAAACGTCTAGATTCCCTGGAAATGGCCAACTAAAGTTAACAGGAAAATTAGGTGATGTCATGAAAGAGAGCGTCACCACTGCTATGAGTTGGATCAAAACAAATTCTCTAAAGCTTGGAATCACTCAAGAGAAGAATTACTCTAAGAATTCTGGAATTGACATCTTAGATGAGGAAGATCTTGCAAATGAGGGAGAAGCTAAATCCACATTGTTCTCTAAATTTGACATCCATTGCCATTTCCCTGCTGCTGCGATACCCAAAGATGGGCCAAGTGCAGGTGTCACCATCACCACTGCTCTTGTATCTTTATTCACAAACAGAAGGGTCAAAGATTCTATTGCAATGACTGGAGAGATATCTTTACATGGAGATGTACTCCCAGTCGGAGGTATAAAAGAGAAATGCATTGCTGCCATGCAAAATGGAATTAAACTAGTCCTCCTTCCAGAGGAAAATAAACTAGATGCTGAAGAATTGCCTGATGACGTCAAAGAAAACCTAAAAATAAAGTTCTGCACAAGAGTTGAAGAGGTTTTAGAAAATGCTCTCTCTGATGACATTGATGAAGAGTTTATCAAGAATGCATATAAGCCATTATTTACGAGCAAGATTTAATATTTTAGACTAATTTCAACTCTATTATTTTCGTATGGGGTTTTGGGGTTTTGGGGTTTTGGGGTTTTGGGG